AAATTTTCTGACCTGTTTCTGACGAAGAATTCCAAGATGAAGACCTCAAGAGAATTTTCGACCGTATTCTAAACGTTATGATGGGCCTTTTTTTTTCATGCCAAATGTCCCTGCTACGAGGCAAAAAAAAGAAATAAAAGCTGTCTATTCATACCTCGGAATGATCCGCGTGCCTTCGTTTCCTTGATAAAGCTGAAAGTAAAAACAATGCGTCAATATCATTATTATAACAACCCCAACCACTGCTACACCACCAGAAATTATTGTCATCATCATCATCATCATCATCATCATCATCATCATCATCATCATCATCGTCATCGTCATCGTCATCGTCATCGTCATCGTCGTCGTCGTCGTCGTCGTCGTCGTCATCATCATCATCATCATCATCATCATCAACGTCATCATCATCTTCCTCATCATCTTCTCGTCACCATCACAATCATTAAAACGTACAATAGTTATAGAGTAAAGCCGGGTGTGACATCACGAAAGCCTCTTCGTCAAAAAACCTGCGTGTTGGTGCAAATTTGGGGCGAGAAATTGGTACCCACTAACTCTACACAGAACATTGTAAAATTTACAAGGATTTGGTGAGGGTCATCAGAGCATAATGGTGCTAATATCTCACCGTAGAAGCCCATAACCCGGAGAGAGCAACTCCGATACTAGGGCTATGTCACAGCGTTTTCAAGGACCAGTTTATTTTTAGAGCTGTTTTTCCTGTAAAGATAGAAGCTCCGATCCTTCTATGAGCGCATTCGAAGTATAAGATATGAATATAGGAGAACTAAACGTCATTAAAAGATAAAAAAAAATACAATTTTCAGGTCTGTAGATTTTGCTGACTGGTATGGACTTACAAGATATTCTAAATTTGCGACAAAATCAAAATCAAAATAAAAGGGTTTGTAAAAACATCGTGACAAAAGTACATAGAACAGATAGAAGTTACTCGCTGCGGGTTGTGAGCTCTTGCTCACAGTCAGTTTGTACTAACTCGCTGCTTTCAGGCAAGGGAGCCTTTTTTATCTCGTTCTTCCTGACTATCTCAGTGCATCCCATAATTTCCGCAAATTTGGTTTCTTTGACGTCATCCTAAAATTGGTCGCGATCGCTCGTGAGAGATGGTCGTTTTTAAGAGGTTCAACTCAGGGGCGGATCCAGGATTTATTTTAGGAGGGGGTGCACTCGTCTCTTGCTCTACTTCAACGCCAATAAACCACATAGTTTTTTTTTGGCAGAATACCAGTTGTATTAGAATACCGCAGGTCATCTCGGGGGGGGGGGGGGCGCCCCCCCTGCACCCCCCCCCTAGATCCGCCCCTGCAACTACAGGGCTTTGACTGGAAAGGGTTTGGTGTTTTGGATAGGGGGTCGCTTACGAGCGCTGGGCGCACATGAGGTATCACTGGGGGCCGAAGAGGACCTTGAAATGTACTGAAGGAGAAAATTAGAGTGATCAAAAAATAAATCGGTATGTTAAACGCCACCCCATAGGCTGATATTCATTAGCTTCCATGTATGGTAACACCTACGCATTTCTAAGGATTGTCGGAAGGTACGAGCACATCGCACACATGTAAGTCCAACCGAAACTCACTTTCTTTTTTACTGTCCCAAATACTCTACCCTTGGAAATAGTGTTTATCATAAAATACTGTCTGAAAACATAAATCTTAGACAGTTATCTACCAAGGACTTAATGAAAGCTTTGATGAACTCAAATAATTTGTTAGTCGGTTTCCAATGATTCTTTGTCACTGTTATGAAGGCCAATAGTTTACTATTTGTACTTAGTTCATCAACTTTTTTCTAACTAAATCTTTATTCGTTATCTTTGCACAGAACATTTTCAATACTGAAAGTTCTTACATGCAAATATTGAAAAGCTTGTTACTGTTGTTGTTGTTCTTCGACTAAACGACATGGTACAGCACTAATGTACGTTACCGAAGGAAAAAAATCTCGATCTTAAGCTTTCACTTGAATGGCCATGCCTTCTGCAAACAAAACAAGCAATGGTGTCTTGCCTCTAAGTAATTAAGTTCAGAGCTGTTAAAGCATAAATTTGGACTCGATCATTTCTTTCTTGTTTCAAACGCCTAGCTACCAATCAGCAAGACGCGGGCATAACGACCTCTAGCGATAATGATCTCACCTCGATGCTACTTTACCTGATTAGAGCTTGAGGCGGGCTTGCAATATCCACTCGTAGTGTGATTTTGATCGGAGTCAGCAGAGTATGTAGTGAACCGAAAAACGATGCTGGAACCATTTTCAGGAACGTAAAAATCCACGCCACAAGGAATCGTCTTCCCACTTTGCTCTTCAAGAAACACCCAATGCTTATTAGTCGTTGGGTCCTCCTTGATTCCGTACATACCGGTGATAACATAACCAATTCCGCCATGGTAAACGCGGTCGTATTTGTCGTAAGGTCCGTTTTTGTTGTCTTCAGCCGCCTTGTTCACTATTTCCATCAAAGTGGTACCGT